AGGCGGCGGCCGCTCTGGCAGCAGCCATGCCAGGGGCTGGAGGGGCCAAATCTGAAGCCAGAGGCAACGGCCCTCTGCCTGGAGGAGGAGGGCTCATGGAGGAGATGAGTGCCCTGTTAGCAAGGAGGTAGCGACACATCATATATTACTCTTCGATTCAGTACGTCTCAAAATAGGCACTTGAGTCATATGAATGAATTTCAGATCTTGTTTCATATACTACAGAAAAGTGAAACTTGACACAGTTGCCATACAGTAGATTTAGCAAACCCCAATGTTGGTCGCAATGGATTTTGTTGTGCCACCTGAAGAATAAGTTCATGTACTCATCACTCTCACTATTCCTCAGTATTATGAGATGATATGTAGTAAAATCGTAATTTAAATGCACTTTGTTGCTGACAGAGAAGTATCACTGTAAGATCTAGAGAAATCTAAGGAATTTAGGTTTTAAAAATGTGGAGTTCAGGAGGAATTGTGTGGTCTGTGCTTTATGATATTAACATTAAACATGATGATATGTTTTTAAAAATAGCAACTGTTTTTCAGAAATAATTCTGGACTCTGTCTTACAGGAGAAGAATTGCAGAGAAGGGCTCATCACCTGAACCTGACCAGAGATCAGTAAGTACCATTAGATCCTTCTTGTCTGCTGTATTCATGGGGTAGGACTGGATAAGTCTGACTTCTTCCTACTCCATTCAAGCATGTATTAGGTATAAGCAAATTGATATTGGATTAGCATTTGTTGGATATGTGTAAAATTATGTGTGTTGACATATCAACTGTCTTTACATGCTTGAAAGAATAAATAAATCAAATCAAATCAAAGTCTTCCAAGTCCAAACTCTGACTTACATGTTGTATCTTGTTAGCTAGTAAAGTAGCTAAAATCTCATCCAAACTCAGCTTTGTTCAGAGTTTAAAATGATGCAAATGTAGCAAAGTCATTATGATGACAGTTCTGAAGTGCTGACTGGTAATTAGCTTGCCTGTTAATGAAATATACACATACTATTAAGCTATAGTGTCTCATTTTCTCAGTAGCAAGACTAAGCTAAAGGCATCTTGAACCAATCTCTGTACTAAATGAAGTCAGATAATGTTAATATTGATCTTGGATAATTTGCAGTAAGAAAGCAACAGTTACTGTATTTCTAAATTCTGGAATATTTTTCCACATTGTTCACTGGGGCAAGTGTTCTTCAAGTAAATTCTAAAAAACTAGGAAAAATATTCTATTAAGATATGCATAAAAACTTAATTATGATTATAGAATAATACATCACCTACTTTGTGTTGTTCTGCATGTCCTATTGTAATCAAAAAAAGAACAGCAGTGCTCACAGCTATGTCATTGATCCGCGATGAAAGGTCCAGGACTTGGTCCCTGGCTGAACGCAGCTCCACACCCTCACGCTGTAGCTTGTCCTTCATCTTGTTCAGAGTCTTCATCATCTCCTCCTTTTCCTGGGTCTTGGTGTCACACTCCCGCTCCTTCCTCTCTAGTTTACCTAGCAGCTCTGCATGATCTAAAAGTAAACAAAGGTGCAGAAATGTATTTATAAGATGTAAATTCACATAATAACAAACAGGAATCTGTAGAGGCAGAGAAGCAGAACATGACTTGTAGGCAATTATATTAAAACAGATTCATGTAGAAAACATTTCATGATGCATTTTCCCTCTCAACCTGCAGAGGGCAGTGTGTCAAACACTTCTTACCTCTCCGGAACTTCTCTGCCTGGTCTCGCCACTGTTTCACCTCATTCTCATTGACCAACCTGTAAAGCAGACAGACAAAAATAAGTACCAACACAAAAAACACAAACTGGGCAGAGCACAGCACAAAATGTTTGCACATAGTGGTCAACTGCAGTCCAACCAAGTCAAGCTCGACAGAGGAAATGTAATAATGTGATTATAAATTGAAGACTGAGTAATTCTTGACTGTGAGCAGGATACACATTCATTACCAACATTGACTGGGTTGATGCAGATTATTCTTTTAAGCTGCATATTACAACATTAGTGCAAAAACAAATCCTGCAGGGTTGAAATCAAATTACATCCAGGG